GGTCATCAGGCCGATCGCCGGGATGCCCTGGGCCCTGGGCCAGGTCATTATCGTTCTCCACCCGGAGGACCTCGGGACACCCTCCAAGACAAACGCCGGGGATTCCTACGTGGCCCTGGACCTCCCCGAGCACCAGTGGGTCGGCCGCGCTCTGCGCAAGCTGAGAGAGCGGCGAGCCCCACTTCAGCGCCTGCTCCCGATCGCGTACTGCGAGCTCTTGGCAGAGATGAAGAGGGCCGCAGTAACCGTGGCCTGCGAGGTGCTGCGCCCAACGCCCCACGGGCTCCGTCACGGTGGAGCCAGTCTCGACAAGGCGCTCGGACTGAGGTCCTCGGGCGACATCCAGTTGCGGGGTAAGTGGCGACCGCCTCTCAGCGTCCAGCGCTACGAGGAGCACGCCCGGATCAGCAAGCAGCTCGAGAGGCTCGACCCGCGCGGGCTGCTCGACCTCCAGCCCCGCGAGGCGCGCTTGCCAAGCGCCTGCGGAGCGAGCTTCGGGCGGCCTCGAGAAAGACCTACCCCCGCGAGGGCAAGGTCTTCTTGGAGGCGTTCGCTGGCACAGGGCACCTGTGCCAGGCCCTCCGCAGACGCGGCGCCGCTGCCATGAGCATCGACGTGCGACGCGGGCCGCATCACGACCTCAGGGCGCAAGAAGTCTTCAACGTCGTCAAGGGCTGGATCCTCTCTGGCCTCGCGCGGGGGCTCTGGCTGGGGACTCCTTGCAGCAGCTTCTCCCGCGCCAGGCGGGCGCCAGCGGGCTCGCGGACGCCCGCGGCCCTGCGGTCGCCATAGCAGCCCCGCGGCCTTTCGGGACCCCCGCCGCGGGACGCTCCCAAGCTTGCCGAGGGCAACGCTCTGGCCGACCGCGCTGGGCAGCCTGGCGCTGGAGCGCAAGATCCTTGGCGGCGAGGAGAACCCTGCCCAGTCTTTCCTCTGGGCGCTGCGCTCGAGGGAGCGCTTCCTCGCCCAGCCAGACGTGTTCGACACCGTCATTGACTACTGCGCCTTCGGTAGAGACTTCCGAGCCGGCACTCGCCTGCGTCTATGGCCCCCCCCCCTGCCCCTCGTCCTCTTCTCGAGGCCAAGTGCTCCGGGCGCGGGATCTGCAGTTTTTCTGGCCAGCCAGCCACACACCCAGCTCGCAGGCAAGGCCCGTGGGGGGCCCTCCTTCCGAACTGCTCAAAAGAACGAGTACCCTCCGCAGTAGCGCCGTTTCCTGGCCGGTATGTTTTGCAGCTCTAGGAGAAAAAGTATGGGCCATCAATCTCTGGGCAAGAATGAAGCGACGGCGCCATAAGGCGCCAGCTCAGTGCTGAATGTGGGAATATCCTGTGTACGGGTCGAGCTTAGCAGCACGCCTGCTCGGCGAGAGAAGCGTCGCGTTGCGCATCGGCTTCAGCAAAGTTCTGGCGAAAAAGAGTGACGATATTCCGTTGCCTACGTTTTTCGTTTCTGATTTGCCGTGCGCTCCCATCTCAATAGCCTTCTTTCTAGTCCCACCCACCCTCCCTCCGAGGTCTAAGGCGAGGCGGGGTCGAGCTTAGCAGCACGCCTGCTCGGCGAGAGAAGCGTCGCGTTGCACATCGGCTTCAGCAAAGCTCTGGCGAAAAAGGGTGCGAAAGTCATAAATTATCCCATGGTTTTTGAAGCATTCTTGCGCTCTCCCATGTGTCGCCCCCCCCACGGTCCCGGATTGCGTCAGAAGCCCTTCAGATCGCTCCAAGACGACCGAAGAGGCTCCCAAGAAAGCCCAGAGAAGGCCCAGGAGGCCCCCCAGATAAGTCAAGAGGACCTCGAGAGCGCCCCGAGAGAGCCCCTAGAGCGACCCAAGAGGGCCCGAAGAGCGCGACATTTCGAGGTCTCCGGCCTGAGAGGCTCTTTAGGACGCCCCCGGAGGCCATCAGGAGGCCCCCGAGAAGCTCCGCGAGGCTCCCAAGAGGCCCCACGGAAGCTCACATAGGCCCCCATGGGACCCCTAGGGGAGCCCCCTGCGGGACCCCAAGACACTTCGGTGAATCGCATTTCCCAGATAGCTTTCCGGGAGCATGATTCCTTAGGCTTCCGCCCACCGCCCCAACTGCGCTACCAATCGGCTTGCCGACAAGGCCAGAAGGCGCCCTTCGGCACGCCCCCAGAGGCCCCCTCTTAGAGAGCCGAAAAAATCATGCTCCCAGAAAGCTCCCCGGGAACATGATTCTCTATCTCGGAGTAGGCCTGGCGGGGGGGCGGGCCGCTGCCTGCCCCCCCCATCGGCGCCCACCAGGGGTTGCAGGGGGGCGCCCAGAGCTCCGAGGCGGCCCGAGCCCGCCCCGAAGGAGGCCACGACAGGCTAAGGGGGTCCCGAGAGGACCCAAGAAGGTCCCACGAGGCCCCGAAGACGCCCAAGATGCCCTCAACACAGACGACGAGGACTCCAACACGCTCCAGGACGGATTCAAGAGGCTCTCCAAAAGGGCCCTTGAAGGCAAGATTCATTCGTTATCCTATTGTTTGGGATTTGGGCGTTCTCGCTTTTCCCACATTCCAGCGCTCCATCACGGCCTCGGAGGACTTTCAGATCGCTCCAAAAAGGCCCACGGGCCCCGACGAGGGCCCCAAGACGGCCCAGGATGCTCCCCGGACAACCCAAGTGCGCCCCAAGAGCGCGCCAAGAGAAGGCCCAGAGGGGTCCCGAGGCGGCCCGGGCCCGCCCCGAAGCAGGCCACAACAGGCTAATGGAGGTCCCGAGGGGGCCCTAGACGGTCCCAAGAGGCCCCGAAGACGCCCAAAGCGTCTTAAGACGGCCCGACGAGGACTCGAACATGCTCCAGACGGAACTCAAGAGGCTCCCCAAGAGGGCCTTGGGAGGCAAGATTCACTAATTTTCAAAAACAACGGGAAAATTAGTGAATCTTGCCTCCCAAGGCCCTCTTGGGGAGCCTCTTGAGTCCGTCCTGGAGCGTGTTCGAGTCCTCGTCGGCCGTCTTGAAGACAGCTTGGGCGTCTTCGGGGCCTCTTGGGACCGTCTAGGGCCCCCTCGGGACCTCCATTAGCCTGTTGTGGCCTGCTTCGGGGCGGGCCCGGGCCGCCTCGGGACCCCTCTGGGCCTTCTCTTGGCGCGCTCTTGGGGCGCACTTGGGTTGTCCGGGGAGCATCCTGGGCCGTCTTGGGGCCCTCGTCGGGGCCCGTGGGCCTTTTTGGAGCGATCTGAAAGTCCTCCGAGGCCGTGATGGAGCGCTGGAATGTGGGAAAAGCGAGAACGCCCAAATCCCAAACAATAGGATAACGAATGAATCTTGCCTTCAAGGGCCCTTTTGGAGAGCCTCTTGAATCCGTCCTGGAGCGTGTTGGAGTCCTCGTCGTCTGTGTTGAGGGCATCTTGGGCGTCTTCGGGGCCTCGTGGGACCTTCTTGGGTCCTCTCGGGACCCCCTTAGCCTGTCGTGGCCTCCTTCGGGGCGGGCTCGGGCCGCCTCGGAGCTCTGGGCGCCCCCCTGCAACCCCTGGTGGGCGCCGATGGGGGGGGCAGGCAGCGGCCCGCCCCCCCGCCAGGCCTACTCCGAGATAGAGAATCATGTTCCCGGGGAGCTTTCTGGGAGCATGATTTTTTCGGCTCTCTAAGAGGGGGCCTCTGGGGGCGTGCCGAAGGGCGCCTTCTGGCCTTGTCGGCAAGCCGATTGGTAGCGCAGTTGGGGCGGTGGGCGGAAGCCTAAGGAATCATGCTCCCGGAAAGCTATCTGGGAAATGCGATTCACCGAAGTGTCTTGGGGTCCCGCAGGGGGCTCCCCTAGGGGTCCCATGGGGGCCTATGTGAGCTTCCGTGGGGCCTCTTGGGAGCCTCGCGGAGCTTCTCGGGGGCCTCCTGATGGCCTCCGGGGGCGTCCTAAAGAGCCTCTCAGGCCGGAGACCTCGAAATGTCGCGCTCTTCGGGCCCTCTTGGGTCGCTCTAGGGGCTCTCTCGGGGCGCTCTCGAGGTCCTCTTGACTTATCTGGGGGGCCTCCTGGGCCTTCTCTGGGCTTTCTTGGGAGCCTCTTCGGTCGTCTTGGAGCGATCTGAAGGGCTTCTGACGCAATCCGGGACCGTGGGGGGGGCGACACATGGGAGAGCGCAAGAATGCTTCAAAAACCATGGGATAATTTATGACTTTCGCACCCTTTTTCGCCAGAGCTTTGCTGAAGCCGATGTGCAACGCGACGCTTCTCTCGCCGAGCAGGCGTGCTGCTAAGCTCGACCCCGCCTCGCCTTAGACCTCGGAGGGAGGGTGGGTGGGACTAGAAAGAAGGCTATTGAGATGGGAGCGCACGGCAAATCAGAAACGAAAAACGTAGGCAACGGAATATCGTCACTCTTTTTCGCCAGAACTTTGCTGAAGCCGATGCGCAACGCGACGCTTCTCTCGCCGAGCAGGCGTGCTGCTAAGCTCGACCCGTACACAGGATATTCCCACATTCAGCACTGAGCTGGCGCCTTATGGCGCCGTCGCTTCATTCTTGCCCAGAGATTGATGGCCCATACTTTTTCTCCTAGAGCTGCAAAACATACCGGCCAGGAAACGGCGCTACTGCGGAGGGTACTCGTTCTTTTGAGCAGTTCGGAAGGAGGGCCCCCCACGGGCCTTGCCTGCGAGCTGGGTGTGTGGCTGGCTGGCCAGAAAAACTGCAGATCCCGCGCCCGGAGCACTTGGCCTCGAGAAGAGGACGAGGGGCAGGGGGGGGGGCCATAGACGCAGGCGAGTGCCGGCTCGGAAGTCTCTACCGAAGGCGCAGTAGTCAATGACGGTGTCGAACACGTCTGGCTGGGCGAGGAAGCGCTCCCTCGAGCGCAGCGCCCAGAGGAAAGACTGGGCAGGGTTCTCCTCGCCGCCAAGGATCTTGCGCTCCAGCGCCAGGCTGCCCAGCGCGGTCGGCCAGAGCGTTGCCCTCGGCAAGCTTGGGAGCGTCCCGCGGCGGGGGTCCCGAAAGGCCGCGGGGCTGCTATGGCGACCGCAGGGCCGCGGGCGTCCGCGAGCCCGCTGGCGCCCGCCTGGCGCGGGAGAAGCTGCTGCAAGGAGTCCCCAGCCAGAGCCCCCGCGCGAGGCCAGAGAGGATCCAGCCCTTGACGACGTTGAAGACTTCTTGCGCCCTGAGGTCGTGATGCGGCCCGCGTCGCACGTCGATGCTCATGGCAGCGGCGCCGCGTCTGCGGAGGGCCTGGCACAGGTGCCCTGTGCCAGCGAACGCCTCCAAGAAGACCTTGCCCTCGCGGGGGTAGGTCTTTCTCGAGGCCGCCCGAAGCTCGCTCCGCAGGCGCTTGGCAAGCGCGCCTCGCGGGGCTGGAGGTCGAGCAGCCCGCGCGGGTCGAGCCTCTCGAGCTGCTTGCTGATCCGGGCGTGCTCCTCGTAGCGCTGGACGCTGAGAGGCGGTCGCCACTTACCCCGCAACTGGATGTCGCCCGAGGACCTCAGTCCGAGCGCCTTGTCGAGACTGGCTCCACCGTGACGGAGCCCGTGGGGCGTTGGGCGCAGCACCTCGCAGGCCACGGTTACTGCGGCCCTCTTCATCTCTGCCAAGAGCTCGCAGTACGCGATCGGGAGCAGGCGCTGAAGTGGGGCTCGCCGCTCTCTCAGCTTGCGCAGAGCGCGGCCGACCCACTGGTGCTCGGGGAGGTCCAGGGCCACGTAGGAATCCCCGGCGTTTGTCTTGGAGGGTGTCCCGAGGTCCTCCGGGTGGAGAACGATAATGACCTGGCCCAGGGCCCAGGGCATCCCGGCGATCGGCCTGATGACCTGCCTCCCGAGCAGTGCGAGTCCCTCGCCCGGCCGACAGTGGGTGACGAAAAGCAGGGCGATGAGGGGGCCCATCAGCAGCTTGCTGGGGGCGAAGAGCGACCCGGCGATGCCTGCGGCCACCAGCCAAGGGATCGGCGGTCGAGACTGGGGCGGTCGCAGGCGGGCCCACCCTGCTGCAGCCTGGTGCGTCAGCGGGAACGTGGACCGCACGGTCAGCCCGAGGGGCGGAAGGGCCCACAGTTGTGCGGACATGACGAGCTCCCCGGCGTGGGGGCCGCCGCCGCGGTCGAAGAGCACCGACAGAAAGTCGCTCAAGTGCTCGCCCCGCGCGCTGGCCGTCCACTCGGGCAGCGGCGTGACTGCAAGCCGGCCGGCGAGCTCCTTCAGCGCCCGCGTGTGCTGCACACGCGTGGGGGGCCGCGCGCTGTTCTGCGCAAGCCTTGACAGCCGCGGCAAGGGCCACTTGATGCCCGGCTCGGCGGCGGGCCCGGGCGAGGGCGCGGGAGGCGAGCGCGGAGGGCGCTGCGCCCCAGGGCCGCGCGTCGGCCGCCCGGGCCGCGGCGGCAGGCGTGAGCGAGCCTCCAGCCCAACGCCCTCGGCGCGGTCCAGCCCGGCAGCTCCCTCGGCGTTGAAGGTCCTCTGGAGCCGCGCCTCTGGCGAGCGACTCCCCTGCCGGTGGGTCGCGCACTGCGGGGCCTCTGCTGGGGCCTGGCCAGCCAGCGCGGAGGCGAGGCGGCGAGCCTCCATGGCCGCGCCACGCGCCCGGCATCCGAAGCCCTCGCCTCGAAGCCGAGTCGCTAGGGTTCAGCTCCGAAGGGTGCCGGCGGAGGGAGGGGAGGATGCTGGCGGCAATGTGATTGGCGGCCCGCCCGCGGCAGGCAGTGATGAGCGAGAATGCCGCAGCTCTCTCCTTGCAAGCCGCACGCGTGACCGACGTGTTGTCCCCAGCGTAGAGAGCGCGACTGTGATGGGGATGGAGGGGGCGAACTGTGCGTCGGACGCACCGGGCGAGGGCCGCCGCCTCCAGGTTGTGAATTGAATCTGGCCGGCGGAAGGCGCGGGGGGCCACTGTGGCCCACCCTTCGCCTAGCAGCAGCTCGCGAGGCACCTCGTGGAAGCGGGCGTGTCTCCCGAGGAGAAGGGCCGCAGCGTCGGGCAGCCTCGAGAGCTCCTCCTCATCATGCAAAGCGTGCTCACGGTGGCTGCCCCCTGCGGTGGCGAGCAGGCCGCGGAAACGAGCGCGCTCGCGCAGCCGTCCCGCGCGGCCCACGTCAGCGCTGCCCCGCAGGCTCTCGGCGACACCCAGCCCCCACTCAGAGGCATCGTAGGCGGTGACCACCGGCAGCCACTGCAGGTCGGAGCGGGCCACGATGGTGGGCAGCAGGGCGTGCGCCCAGCGGAGCTCCCGGCGCGCGCTGGGCCGTGTGGGCGCCCGGCGACGTCCCAGCTTCCGGCTGAACTGGTAGACAGCGGAGAGGGCGGAAAGCAGGTCGCGGCGCAGCATCATCATGGAGACGAGGTGCCCGATGAGGCGCTCCAGCTCAAGGCCCGATGGGGTGGCCCCCGCCTGCAAGACGTACTCGAGGGCCTTGGCCACTCGCCACGACTTCCTGGCGTGGGCCGCCAGAGCTGCTGGTGTGCCACGTACTCGAAGCCCAGCAACTCCAGCGATCCGGAACTCGGGTCGGGAATGTCCAGGTGAGCCTTCGCGCCCACGCCCTCGAGCGTCGTCAACATGTGGGCGATCCCGTTCACGGCCTCGCACTCCTTGTCGGAGACCACGGCCAGGTTGTCGCTATAGCAGAGCTTGGAGGGGCCCTCGCATATGGGCGTCACCGGCACCTGGTCCCTCACCCACGGGGCCGAGGGTACACGTCAGGACAGTAGGTGCTCGTGAGCTCTCTGAATAAAGTGCACCGCCCACGACCAGCCCATTGGCGCGACTCGCGCCTGGAAGGCGCGCTCGACGTCGCCCTCTGCGAGCCCCGGCCTCTTGCGCCACCTGGCGGGCAGGTAGCGCGCCCAAGTCGGCGGGAGCACGAAGAGGGGCCGAAGGCTGGCGGGCAGCTCGTACTGGTAGAAGCAGACCTCGATATCGGCGGACGCCACCCAGAATCGCACTCCAGGCTCGCTCTCGAGGTCCGCGAGCGACTCACCGCTGGCTAGCGAGGAGCAAAGTGGCAGTTGCTCCGTCGCGTGTCAAAGATCAGCCTCAGCAAGCCATCCTTGCGCTTGACGAAGAATGCCCCCGAGGCCCCGAGGTCTCCTTGACGACGGTGGCCTTTTGCAGGATGCCCTTGTCCAGGAGCTCCGCCAGGAAGCGCCCGTACGTGAAGCCCCTCAGCCTCAGCACGGGGTCCAAGGCCATGGCGGGCCCGAGCTCGTGCAGCGCCGCCTGCGCCTCCGCGGGGTCGCGGAGAAGGCCGCTGCCCTCTGCCAGCATGCACTGCAAGTCGTCTGGGACCACGTCGCGCAGCGGCGCAGCCCCAGCACGTGACTGCGGAAGGGGAATCCTGCCAGGCTGGTAGGTTGCATCAAAACTGTCGGCCACACTCGAGTCGATGTAGCCGCCGCCGCTACCCTGCAGCACCTTCCATGCTCCCAGGGGGTCAACGTCAGTTAGTGGAGGTCTGCGCCCGCCATAGACCTTGGCCAGGGGGCGCACCGCAGAAGCCTGGGCGGCGGTCGCTGGGGCTTCGTTGGACGCCCTGCCGCCGCCGTCAAGCTCGCTCAGCGCGCCCAGGCCCGCGCGGAGCCACGCCTCCTCGCCCCGGCGCCGCCTGGCCTTCCGCTTGCCCGCTGCGAAGAGCCCGCCGCCCGCCGTGCCGAGGGGCAGCTCGTCGAGGGCCCGTCCGCCCGGGAAGGGCAGCAGATCGCGAGGGCGGTCGTCAGGAGGCTGAGGGCCAAACGCCATGCCCGAGCCAACCGCCACTCGCAGCGGGCGCAAAAGCGCCGGCGACCTCCCCCGGAGGGGCCCACCGGCGGAGTGTGCTTCAGGAGCGGCCTCACCGGCCGCGGCCGCGCGCCCTCGCGCGCGCGCCGCTGCCGCGGGCCCTGCCCTGCTGCTGCTGGGCCTGACTGCCTGCTGCGGCCCCCTGCGCGAGCCGCTTCTCCTCCCTCCCCTTGCGCTTCTCCTTGAGGATGGCGCTCTCCGGTGCGTGGGGCTCCTCCGAGAGCTGGTAGCGCCTCGAGAGGACCTCGAACGTCTCCAGCTCGGAGCAGTTGAGCTGGTCGAAAACGCAGGCCCTCTCCAGCACCTCTGAGATGTAGACGTGCTCCTCCACGCCAGCGTCGCTGTGCGAGACCTGCAGCAGGTTGCGCCATCCGAAGTGGCGCCGTGTGGGAGTCCAGCCTGCGTCGCGGATCGCCTGGAGGAGCCACTTGCGCGTCCGAGGACCCGCGACGAACCAGCCAGCCTGCGCGGTGGCAGACCACCGCGTCGCCGTGCTCACGGAAGCGGCGGTTGCTCCTGTCGAAGCGCACGGGAAGTGTGCGCAGGTCGCCCTCGCCAACTCCTGATGAGAGAGACCCCGCCGCGACCGCGAAGAGGGGCCCCGCGCCGGGCACCGTGAGCACGCCGCGATCCCCTGAGGCCAGCGGCTGGCAGCCCGCGAGATCGTCCGCCTGGCCGTGGGTGAAGCCGTGGCGGGGCTCGTCGGCCACCAAGGCCTGACCAGCGGGAGCCCCTGGGAGGGCTGCAACGGCGGGGCCTGCCGCGATGGGGGCAGGCGCAACGCCGGGGCCGGCGCCGCCGCGAGGAGGGCGCGCGTGCTGCGCCGCGAGGACCTGGCCAGCGTCGGCCTCGATGTCGAGGGCGCCCTCGTTGTCGCGGACGTGGTCCTCGCAGGCCTCGAGCAGCTCGCGCTTCTCCTGAGCCGCGAGGTAGACGAACCGGAAGACCTCGACGTTCGCCGGGCCCGCCTTGAGGCCGCCCAGCGGGCCCGCGCGAGGGGCCCCGTCGCTCTCCGTGAGGTCCTCGTCGTGGACGGCGCCGCTAGGCGTCGCCCCCGCCCAGCGTGATGGCCCCGAGCGGGCGCCCAGCAGCTCCTCGTGCCACCGTGGGTGCCCCTCGTGCCGCGCCAGGACTCGAGCCCCCCACTGGAGTTGTGAGCACCACTCCGGCCGCGCTTCGCCCGGGCGCCAGCCATCCTGCATGTCGAGGGCAGATCGCGAGGCACGAGCCGAAGACGACGCCCGCGAATAAGAGCCCCGCACCGACGAGGGCCAGGGTGGCCACCGGCGGGGGCGGCAGGGCGGGGCACGCCAGCCCGTGGAGCTGCTCAGGGCCGCAGCGGCCCAGTTGCCGCTGCAGCAACTGGAGGAAGCCCTGGGCCGGGGCGGCGGCCCACTCGCAATGGCAGTCGCACCGCCCGCCCGCGGCCAGCCCGCCCATGGCGCCGGCGACGACCGAACTGGTGACGGAGGAGGCGCCCTAAAGCACGCTGGTCAGCCAGGCCATGCACTCTGGGCCCAGCCTGAACCAGAAAAAAGGTTATTGAAATGGAAGTGCACGGCGAATCAGAAACGAAAAACGTAGGCAACGGAATGTCGGCTTCTGGGGCCCTTTGGAGGGGCCTCCTGGAAGCGCTCCTGGGGCGTTTTGGCGGCGTCGTCGGCCGTCCTGGGGCCACCTTCGGCGCTTCCGGGGCCTCTGCATGGGGGTTCTCTTTGGGCGTCCTGGGAACCTAGGAATCGTGTTCCCGGAGAGGCTTCCCGGAACGTGATTTCGAACGAGGCCCTTCTGGGCCTCCCTGAGGCCGCCTTGGGGTCCTCCTGGGCTGGCTTTGGGGCCTCTTGGGCCGTCTTGGGGGGTTCTGTGAGCCCCACAGGACGTCCCTTTTGGGCCGTCTTGGGCCCTCTTGGGTCTCTCTTGGGCAGTCCTGGGGCTCCTCGGGGGCGTCTGGGGCACTGCGAAGACGAAGCAAAGGAGTATGCTGAATATGTACGTATTACCACGGGGACGGGCTGATTTTGCCTCTCGAAGGCCCTCTCGGGGCCCTCTTCGGCCATCTTGAAGCCATCCCGGGCCCTCTTGGGCCTTGCTGAGGCTGTCCTGGGGCCCTCTAGGGGTCGAAGGGGCCCTGGGGGTCCGGAAATTATCTCCTGGGAGAGGCTTCCGGGAACATGATTTGGAACGGGGCCCTCTTGGGCCTCCCTGGGGCCGTCTTGGGGGCCTCCTGGGCCGGCTTCGGCGCCTCTGGAGCCGTCTTGGGGGTTCCGTGAGCCCCGCAGGCCGACCCTTTTGGGCCGTCGTGGGCCCTCTTGGATCTCTCTTGGGCTGTCCTGGGGCTCCTCGGGAGCGTCTGGGGCACTGCGAAGACGAAGCAAGGGAGTATGGTGAAACTGTGCATTTTACAAAGGGAATGGGCCGATCTGTGCCTCTTGAAGGCCCTCTCGGGGCCCTCTTCGGTCATCTTCAAGCCATCTCGGGCCCTCTTGGGCTTCCGGGAACATGATTTCGAACGGGGCCCTCTTGGGCCTCCCTGGGGCCGTATTGGGGGCCTCCTGGGCCGGCTTCGGGGCCTCTTGGGCCGTCTTGGGGGGCTCTGTGAGCCCCGCAGGACGACCCTTTTGAGCCGTCTTGGGCCCTCTTGGGTCTCTCTTGGGCTGTCTTGGGGCCCCTCGGGGGCGTCTGGGGCGCTGCGAAGACGAAGCAAAGGAGTATGCTGACAATGTGCGTATTACCGCGGGGATGGGGCAGATTTTTGCCTCTTGAAGGCCCTCTTGGGGCCCTCTTCGGTCATCTTGAAGCCATCTCGGGCCCTCTTTGGCCTCGCAAGGGCTGTCCTGGGGCCCTCTAGGGGTCGAAAGGGCCCTGGGGGCCCCGAAGTAATGTTCCTGGAGAGGCTTCCGGGAACATGATTTGGAACGGGGCCCTCTTTGGGCCTCCCTGGGGCCGTCTTGGGGGCCTCCTGGGCCGGCTTCGGGGCCTATTGGGCCGCTTTGGGGGGCTCCGTGAGCCCCGCAGGCCGACCCTTTTGGGCCGTCGTGGGCCCTCTTGGATCTCTCTTGGGGCTCCGCGGGAGCGTCTGGGCCACTGTGAAGACGAAGCCAGCGAGTATGCTGAATATGTACGTTGTACGAAAGAAATGGGCCGATGTTTGCTTCTTGAAGGCCCTCTTGGGGCCCTCTTCGGTCATCTTCAAGCCATCTCGGGCCCTCCTTGGCCTCGCTGAGTCTGTCCTGTGGCTCAGTGGGGGGCCCTTGGAGCCCGGAAGTCATGTTCCCAGAGGAACATGATTGTTCATTCCATTTTCGAGAAGAGTGCTGAGGCGAAGGCGACGCGTCGGGTGGGCAAGAGTCCCACACAACTAGCAGAGAAACGCAGCAATTGAAGAGGCTTTGGGCTAGCGTGGGCAGACACGATGGCTACATAGCGAAATCAAGCGGACGTGTTTAATGAACAATACCGTGCACTACTATGTTCATTCCTTTTTTCCAGAAGAGTGCTGAGGCGAAGGCGACGCGTCGGGTGGGAAAGAGTTCCACGCAACCCACCTTCATGAATTACAAACCCGCCTCAACGTAATGTACTGGTCTACCGCACCTAGTTCCAAAGTCGTTTGGCCCGAAGAGACAGGTAACTGCGCGAGAACTCACGGGCGAGCACTGAACAGAGCCGCGGCGGGTAGGCAGCTTTCAAACGAGTCAGGAAACCAGCTTTGGAAGTACCTGTCAGGACGATGCGAGGTTTTCCAGAAAACGTGCAGAGTCCTCGGCCCATTCACTGCCAGGAATACACTTCGGAGAGCACTGCAATGTTGGCGAGAGCCATGCGGCTGCGGGGTCGATAGGGACGGCCTGCACCGCAGTAGTCAAACACGATTTCACTGACATTGGGGTGGGCACAGAAGCGCTTACGGCTGGGCAAGAGCCACAGCAGGCTGGAGGCAGGATTCTCTTCCCCTGCGGGCAGCTGCCGCGCGAGGGCTATTCGTAACAAGATTGCAATTCTGTCCGCAAGCCTGTTGGAATCTAGGACTGCCTGATAGTCGGCGCCCTCCAGTCCAGGTAGGCCCCTAAGGTGGTCCTTGGTTCGAAGACGGCGAGGCAAGACACTGTGAGGGGGCGCACGGCGGGCCTGCGACCGTTTCTCGCAGGGGCTGCCTGAAAAAACGCCCCAGATGATACCTGACTCTGACCAACCCCGCAAGGTGCGACAAACAGCATCTTGCAGCACATCGCATTCGGGGCCAAGCAGCATATCGATTGATACTACAGCATGGCCTCGCTTCTTTAGCTCGGCGGCGAGCCCGCTGGCTCCGGAAAAGAAGTCGAAACATGCACGTCGCTCACCGAGTCTGCCTGCACGGAGGGCTGCGCGAAGGCTTTGCCGAAGAGCCGTGGGGCGGCTGCCGCCCACCGCTCGCAGTCGTCCTTCTGGGTGCTGCTGAGGTTGCGCCACACCAGTGCCAGCCGTCCCGCTTTTTCGTGTCTCCTGACCGACGAGGCGGCTCGCCACATTCCGCGCCGCTGGACCTCCAACAGCGAGCGGCAGCCTTCTGCGCGATCGTGCGTCGCGCCCCCGTGCCTCAGACAGTGCGGCGTAAAGCCCAAATCGCCGAGCTTGAGGTGCTGAGAGGCAGCGTGGGAGTCGGCTAGGAGCTGTGAGTAGGTGGGGCGAAACAATGGCTCGTCCTCGCGCAGCAGGGACTGAAGGCGTAGAGCGGCGCGTCCTATCCAGTGATGTCGGGGTAGATCGAAAGCCACTGTGGAATCGAACTCGCCCGTCTTGGAGCTGACTGCCAGCTCCTCTGGATGAAAGATTAGTAGCGGGCATCGCAGGACGCCCACACCTCTGCCAACTCCCGCCACCAGCTGCTTGGCAGGCAAGGTCGTGGCCTCCGACGGGCGCAAGTAGCACTCGAACATCGCCAGGATGCAGAGCCCGGAGTCTTGCTTCCCCAGCGTGGCCAACACGGCCGCGAACGCTAGTGCCAGCACTCGAGGGAGTGGCGGGCGTGAGCGTCCTGGCTGTAGCCGGGTCCAGCCAGCCAGCGACGAGTGGGCCGAGGGGAATAGCCGCCGCGCGGGCCCCCCCCAGCGCTGGCCCCCCCCACTCCGCAGCACAGAGGGTGCGCGATAACGCTTCCCTGCCCATGCCGCGGTCGCAGGCCCACTCGGCGTAGTCGACCAGGGCGTCGCCCCACAGCAGGGGCGCCCACTCCGGCAGCGCCTTCAGCCTGAGCCAGCCCGAGAGCATGGTCAGCGCCCGCAGGTAGGTGAGCTCCGTGGCGGGGCGCACCCGACTGGCGGCCAGCCGCGAGAGCCGCGGACACAGCTGCGCCCGCCGCGCGTTGTTCCCGGCGGGCTCGGCGCTCACTAGCGCGCGGGATGTCCAGCCCCGGCGGGAGCCCGAAGGGGCGGGCGGCCCGCGCCCGCCTCCCGATCCTGAGGCGCGCAGGGTTGTCCGCCCTGGCCGCGGCTGCGCGGCATCGCGGGCGCGCTGGTCGTAGGAGGGGTTGATCCAGGAGGCACGAGGCGGCATTGACGTCGTCGTTCGAGCCGATGTCTACGGATGTTGTGCATCTCCTGTGGTTGTCGTGCTGTGTGTCCTTATTTTGTTGCCCCCGATATCCCGGCATGAATCGCCGCGAGGGAGCGTCACCTGGATTGAGCTCGGAGGGGATCCACCGAAACCTGAACTGGACCCCTGTCGCAATCGAGATCGCGCGCACCTCTCGACAAACCGCGTTGAGGGCGAAGTGAGCAGCCCTCTCTTTTCCCCACGCACATACCACCCCGAGGTTGTCCCCCAGGACGAGGTGCCGGAACCCGTACAGCTGAGTATTCCGAACTAAGCGGCGCGCGGCCCAGCGCGCCCCCTCTGCCTCAAGGGCGTGGATGGCTGCGGCGCGGCGCCAGCGCCGCACGGCCTCTGCCGTCCACGGCTCAGCCAGGAGACGCCCCGCCGGTTCTTCCTCGAAGTGCGTGAGGGCGCCTTCCGCCACCGCGTCCGTCGAGGAGGCGCGCAGGAGCTGCTGCTCGCCCAGCGTGTCCCGGGGGGCGTAGTCTGCCGTGGCCACGACCAGCCCATGGGGGCCACCCTGGCAACGAAGTGGGCCATCTCAGAAGGGTCCGTGGTGTTCAGCAGCCGACAAACCTCCGGCTGGAGAAACCGCGCCTGCACAGCAGGTGGGCCAAAAAAGAAGCGCGCCCAGGGTGGCAGCTCGTGCTGGTAGACGCAGCAGTCCACGTCCGCGGAGGCCACCGCGACCCCCTTGGAGGCGTCCACCTCCAAGTTCGCCAGCGCCTCCCCGCTCGACAGCAGCGTGTTGGTGTCGAAGATCAAGCGCAGGGAGGAATCCTTCTTCGGCGCGAAGAAGATGCCAGCACGCTCGATGATGCTGCCCTCGTCCACGCGCTCAAGGATGCCCGTGGAGAGCAGCTCGGAGAGGCGCTCGCCGTAGTGGTAGCCATGCCTCTGCAGCGCAGGGTCCATCGCGCAGGCCCGAGGGGCCTCGCCCAAAGCAAACTTGCGAGCCTCCGGCTCTCGTAACATCTGCGAAGAATCTGACAGGGCGTTCTGCAGGTGCGGGGGGGGCACGTCGCTGAGCCGTTCTCGCCCGGCCGCAGCCCGCGGGGGCGCCGTGGCTCCCTTCCTGTAAGTCGTCGCTGCACCGTCGGCCATGACGTCTGCATAGCCGTTCCGCGAAGCCGCGCCCCCAGGGGGGTCAAGTCGGACGGTGGCGGCCCCGCCCTGCCGTGCAGCCGCGCGAGGTGCCGCGCCGCCGCGGCCTGGCAAGCAGCTGGAGGTCCAGCTGGTGCGTCAGCGCCGCGACCACCCATGTCGTTGAGGGCGGCGATGCCTTCGCGCATGCAAGCCACCTGTTGCCGACGAAGCCGCCCCCGCCGTCCGCCGCCGTGCGGCAGCAGCCCGGCCGCCGCGCCGTGCAGCAGCTCGTCGAGCGCCTCGCCAACTGGGAGGGGCAGAACGTCGCGCGCCAGGGCTGAGTCCGTGACCCCGTGCGCCATGGCCGTCATCGCCGGCGCAGTGGCGGCCCTCCCCTGACCGCTGCCCGGGGGCCTGCAACGGCCGCGCACAAGCCGAGTGAGTGGTGGCGGGCTAGCCCCGCCCGCGGCCGCGGGCGCCTCGCTCGCGCCCTCAGCCTGCGGGGCCCGCGCCGCCGCCGCCCCCGCCCGGGTCGCCGAGGCCGGCGCCAGCTGCGCTGCTGCTCTCTCCGTGCGCCATGCGGCGCTCCCCCCTTCCTTTGTGCCTCTCCTTGAGGATGGCGCTCTCCTCCTGCATCTTCGCCGCCGCGTGCCTCTCCAAAGTCGGTGCAACGAGGGCGTGCCCCTTCGGGCGCGTGCCCCCCAAGAAGATGCGGCGTTCGTCCAACCAGCCGTCGGGGTCGGCTGTGGTCCCTGCAGTGCCCGAGACCTCGGCCTGTCGTAAGGCTTCTGAGTGCACCTCCTCCCATAGCTGGAAGCGCCTGGCCGCCAGCTCGAACGTCTCGCAACCCGGCAGGTTGAGCTGGTCGGCCGTGGCTGCTGTCTCCAGTAGCTGGCAGAGGAACACATGTTCGTCGACCCCGGGGTCAGCTGCTGCCAATCCCAGGATCTGTCTCCACCAGTGGTGGCGCTGAACGGGCCCCCCACCCTGCTCCAGATGTGCCTGGGGCAGCCAGCCGACGGTGGCAGGCCCCTCGATGCGCCGCTCTTTGGTGTGCAGCGCCTCCTGCTGCTCGGAGACCACCTCCGCGAGGACTCGGCGCCGCTGTCCAGTGCTGCTCCGTCGGTGCTGCAAGATGCGCTCGTCCAGTACAGCATCTGGCGCTGCTCTCGGCGACGCTGGAACCTCGTCGATGGTCCCGATGCGTGCGAGCGCGATGACCCCTCCGGGAAGCAAGCACGGGCGCGGTCACCGTTGGCGTGGACGGTGGCGAGGGCCACCTCCACAGGGCTGCCCCGCTTGAAGCCCGGCCGCGACTCCAGGGCAACCCAGCCGTCGTCGAGCCGCGCCGCCGGGAGCGGCGTTCCCCCTGGACCCGCGCGCGGCGGGGGTGCGCGCGCCGGTGGGGGGAGCGGCGGCTCCGCCAAATGGTTGTCCCGCTCGGCGTCGGAGCCGACTGGGGTCCGCGTGCCACCGTCGAGGGCGAGCTGCGTCTCGGACGACCGGGCCTGCGCGGCCTGCTTCCCACGGAGGCGGCGGCCTGCTGGCAGGGCGGCGCGCTCGCGCTCCGCCAGCTGCGCGCCCTCGGCCAACGGGGCGGAGAGCGCGTCCTTGTCGAGGTCGAACCTGTAGAACATCTTCTTACGCAGCTGCGGTGGAAGTCCACCGCGCGGCCCGCCACGGTGCACCTCCGCGTGGTCGGCGTCGGCGAAGTCCTCAACAAAGACGTCTCCGTCAGGCGTCGCCACCGCCCAGAGTGACCCTGCCGCGTGCCCGCGCAGCAGGCGCTCGTGGTACAGCTTCTCCGCTAGACTGTAGCGGCAGTACAGACGGTCCCCTGGCCGCACAGTCCTCATCATGTCCGTCATCTCGTGTGGTACCATGTCCATGGAGTCGTCCCACCACGTACCCGCAGGCAAAGGCGGCCAGGCTCACCAGGCAGCCGATGACGGTCACCCCCCAAAGGACGAGGGGCAACCTTGCGGTGGGGCACTTCGAAGCTGTTCAGGCCCGCACCTGTCCAGTTGCCTCCGGAGCAGCAGGACCAAGTCTTTGTCGTCGTGATCCCATGTGAATGTGCACGTCGAGTGGCACTCTCGCTGCCAATTGCTCCAGAGGCTGGCGGCGTACAGTCCTGTCGAAGCCCCGTTTCGAACTTGGTAGAGACCAGGAGCGAAGAGGGCCATAACACAGCGTCATCTAGAGCAGAACCGATGGCCACAGAGCGAAATCAAGCGGACGTGTGTAATGAACAATACCGTGCGCTACTATTCGAACGGGGCCCTCTTGGGCCTCCCTGAGGCCGTCTTGCGGGCCTCCTGGGCCGGCTTCGGGGCCTCTTGGGCCGTCTTGAAGAGTTCCGTGAGCCCCGCAGGCCGACCCTCTGGGGCCGTCTGGGGCTTGGGCTGTGTTGGGGCTCCGCGGGGGCGTCTGGGGCACTGTGAAGACGAAGCCGGCGAATATGACGAAAATGCACGTTTTACAAAAGAAATGGGTCGATTTTTGCCTCTTGAAGGCACTCTTGGGGCCCTCTTCGGCCATCTTCGAGCCATCTCGGGCCCTCTGGGGCCTCGCTGAGGCTGTCCTGCGGCTCAGTAGGGGGCCCTGGGAACCCGGAAGTCATGCTCCCGGAGAAGCTTCCGGGAACATGGTTTCGAACGGGGCCCTCTTGGGCCTCCCTGAAGCCGTCTTGGGGGGTTCCGTAAACCCCACAAGCCGACCCTTTGGGGCCGTCTGGGGCCCTTTTGGGTCTCTCTTGGACTGTGTTGGGGCGCCGCGGGGGCGTCTGGAGCACTGTCAAGACGTAGCCGGCGAGTGCCGAAAACGCACGTTTTACGAAGGGAATAAGCAGATTTTTGTTTCTTGAAGGCCCTCTTGGGGCCCTCACGGGCCCTCTTGGGGCGCTCTTGGGCATCTTCGGGGCCTCTTCAGGCTTTCGTGACCATGTGTGCGGCCCGCGTGGCCTGTCGTGGGCAATTTGGAAGCGGCCCAGGGCAGTCCCGGGGGTCTGTGACCTCCCAAAGGTTCGTGGGGGCCCCCAGGTGGGATGACGGCACCGATTTTGCCCCTCCCCCCCCCCCCCCCCCCACCCCCCCCCCCCTCCCCCCCGCCCCCCACCCCCTCTCCCCCCCCTCCCCCCCCCCCCCCCCCGCCTACTCTCATATTATATATATATATATATATATATATATATATATATATATATATATATAATATATATATATATATATAATATATGTGTGTGTGTGTGTGTGTGAAATGTATGCGTGCGTGTGTATGTATATATGTATATGTAATCCCACCCCTCTGGGCGCAACTGGTGTAACGAGATCTTTCTCTCCTTCTCCAAAAGAACCACTCTTTCCCTTCATCGATGTTCTTGATTATTATACACCCCCTCCGCCAAGCGACCCGCGTCCAAACAAAAACCATGAGGACACCATGATGAACCGCACCCCGCCATCCTTGTCCAAAAACAATGCAAACCGCAATGCGCCTACACATTTGGAGCATGCGCTGCCGATTCGATGCGGCCACTCCTCTCCGCTCCTGTCAAACACAAACAATGCAACATACACTTTGGGGCAAGTCTTCAATCATGTTCGTGGGGCCCGCGAGCACTGTGTATTGTTTTCACATGGGTGGCAAGGGTGCCAATATATTCCCTCCCGTGCGCACGGCTACCGTCCTGACAAAAACAATACACCATGCACCTCGCGGCTAAATTTGAATCGTGCGCGGCCATCCCGCGATCACTGTCAACTGGTGTTTGTAGTGGCGCGAGGCCTGCTGTGCACAGGCCCACCAGACACAATGATGGGCATTGGTTTTCGACAAGGATGGCGGGGGCCGACATGTTTCCCGATGTGTGCTGTCGCGTGCGCAGGCGCACCTGGTGCACTTTGCACGTGCCCCCGAACATGGCGCACCTGGTGCGGCTGGAGTGTGCGGTACACCCGGCGCGCCAAGCGTGCCTGGCACGCTCGGGTCCCAGGGGTGCCTTGCGCGCGTGGCGCCCTGGCACGCGTGGCGCACCTCGCCCAAGCGTCGCGCACCTGGGGTCGGCTTTGGTTCACAGTAGCTGTACATCTAAAGACGACCACTGAACATGCTCAAGCTCGGGTGTTACTTATGTGTTGGGAGGGCGGGTGGGAGTGAGCTCGACGGCTTGCGGGCGGGTGGGTAGCTTGACCCCTCCCCCTACGCCTGGACGGGGGCGGGCGCGAGGGGTGAGAACGCCAAAGATGGCCTAAGATGGCTCTAGGAGGGCCCCCGAGAGCCTAAAAGATGGCCTCCAAGATAACCCAAGACAACCGAAAATGCTCCAAGACAACTTCCGACATGCCTCCAAGAAGTCCCAAGAAGGTCACAAACCGTTTCCAGGTGCCCTCGGAGACCCGTCAGGGCCTCCCCGAGACGTCAATATCCTTTGCCTTCTCGCCTTTTCGCTTTCGATGCGCTTCTGAGGCCTCCAGATGGCCCAAGAGAGCTACAAGAAGGGGCCCAAGAGGCGCCAAGACGGCCCCAAGACCGCCCAAGAGCGCCCCAAGAACGCCCTAAAAGGGCAACCCGAAGGCGATTTTGACGGCTCTTAGGGGGGAGCTAGATAAGGGACCAGCCTCTCTTTTAATCGATGGTCTCCAAGATGGCTCCAGGATGCCCTCCGAAACCATCAGGAAAGCCCCAACATATCTCCAAAAGGGCCCCGAGACCCCCCCAAAGAGACCCAAGATGACTCAACACCCTCATTCCTCCCTTCTCCTTGCACGCTCTGTTTCACTATGTGTGTCTCTTCGTCCCTTTCCCCGTCAGCTCTCATGGGCAGGGCTTCCGAATGGGCGGGTGGGGATTCGCGAAGCGTAAATCGTTGTCAGAATTTATGTTAATGTCTATGTCTCTATAGACATGTACGCACATCATGATCTCATAGATCATGCATACCTACCTACCTACGTGTATTTTGCATGCTGGCCGACTTAGTCATGTCGCCACTCGCGTGAAGAAATTCGACGACCGTTGGCTGCACTGTTTCGCTGTCATATTGTTGCCGACGTGCGTAGTTCGCCTTTGATATTATCTTCCGACGTTCCGCTTCACAGCTACTGTCTTCGTAAGATGCATGAGTGAAGCAATTAGCGGGAAACGGCAAGCATATGTGTACAAAGAAAAGAACACACAACAACGAAATCCGCCGATCTGGCGTGTGAGTTTGAAAAAGCCTTAGCAGCAGCCTCCGGCCTGCAGCCTGAGCTTCAGCTCTGCTGGGGGGGGGCTGGGGTGGCTCTGCCGGGGAAGGGGGAATGGGGGGGGGGACGAGTTGTGCTCCGCTTTCCGCGGGGGCTCCTAGAGCTTGTCGCGGCTACTCGCGTGTCTCTGGGGAGGGCATTTTTTGACACCCCTCACGAGGATCGTGGCCTCCGAGAGGGTCCCGAACTCGAGTACCCCGCCCTCCCGCCCCAAGAAGCTCTCAAGAGGCCCCCAAGAGGCCCCAAGAAGCTCCCAAGAGGTTTCAAAAAAATTCAAGAGGCCCCAACGAAGCCCCAAAGTGGCCCAAGAAACCCCGCAACTGCCCAAGAGGCCCGGGGGGGCTTCAAAACTGCCTCCCAGAGGCCCCGAAGAGGCCAACCACGAGATCCCAACCAACATCCATGAGGCCTCTGACCCACCACCCAGGCACGGTGGCGGGATAGGCCGAAGGCCACTGGATCCGCCGCCCCCTGCCGGCAGGGGTGCACGGCGTGCTGGATGATTCAGTTTTGGTTTTGGTTCTTTTTCTAAAAGAACTCCCCAATGGGCTTCGGCCCGTCCCGCCGGCCACCCGTAAATTTCAGAAAATCCGTCTGTCAATGCCTTTGTTGCCCCAACTTGGCCCAAGATGGCCTCCAAGACGGCCAAGATGGCCCAAGATGGCCTCCAAGATGCTTCCAAGACGGCCACGATGGCCTCCAAGACGGGTAAGATGGCTCCAAGATGCCTCCAAGACGGCCCAAGATGCCCTCCAAGACGGCCAAGATGGCCCCAAGATGCCTCCAAGATGGCCCAGAGGCCTCCAAGACGTTCTCCAGGAGAGCCCGAAGAGGCCAAAATCATTGGTTTTCCTTAGGTTTTTGAAGGTTTTTTGCGTTTTCATCTTTTCGGCCTTCCGACGGCCCAAGAGGCCCCCAAGATCGCCCAAGAGGCCTCCAAGAAGGCCCTATGACGGCCCAAGGGCCCCCAAGACGGCCCCAAGAGCGCCCCAAGACGGCCCAAGAGGCCTCCAAGACGCCCAACATGGCCTCCAAGACGGCCCTGAAGCGCCCCAAGAGGGCCCCAAGACGGCCCAGAGAGGCCCCCAAGACGGCTCCAGACGGACCAGGAACGCCCTAAGACGGCCAAAGAGACCCCCAGGAAGCCCCCAAAGGCCCCCAAGAGGCCCAAGGAGGCCCCCAAGATGCCTCCAAGAGGCCTCGAAGAGGCCCCCAAGAAGCTCCCAACAGACCCCAAGGGTGCCCCAAGAGACCCCTAACAACCCTCATCCTCCTACTCTATTTCTTCCTCTTCCTCTTCCTGTTCACAATCATTCTCTCCCATGTGTTCCCCGAAAGCTTTCCAAACCGACTCGGGGAACTCATGGTCCGATAGCTTGGCCAAGCTCTAGTCCAACTTTCGGCCACATCGGCGTTTCCAAAAAGGCAGGGGGCGGCGGTGATTCGCCGTAGGCGTCTTCGATCCGCCGCCCCCTGCCGCTTCAGCAAAGGGGTGGCGGGCGTGCCAAATCCCATCGGTTTTGGTTTTGGTTCTTTTTCCAAAAGATCTCTCCCAATGGGTTTCGGCCCGTCCCGCCGGGGCCGCGGAAGGCCCGGAAACGTGCTCAACGACTGAAAACAAATCCTCCCTGAAACGGCCGTTT